CATCTTTAAATCTCCTTCCCCTCTCCTTCTCTCTGTTTCCATCATTACACTGCCCTTGTTTGACCCTGTCTTCTCCTGCTTCCCTCTCATAAGGACCCTTGGGATTACATTCCACCCACCCGCCTGGAAAATTCAGAATCATCTCCTCATCTCAGGATCCTTAACTTGATCACATCTGCAAAATCTCTTTTGCCAGAGTAGGTGACATTCACAGGTTCTATAGATTAGAACCTATAGATTAGAGCCATTATCCAGCCTGCCACTTCTTCTTCTTCTTCTTCTTCTACTACTACTACTACTACTACTACTGCTACTACTACTGCTACTACTGCTACTACTACTACTACTATTACTATTATTATTATTTGACCCATGAGCCTCCTGTTTATGCATTTTGGGATTCAGGGTCACAAGGTTCATTCAAATCAATTCACCAAAGGCTGTAACTTCAGACCGGTATGGGTCCCACAGTGTGGCATTCTGTCTGCAGATGTACTCCTGGGAATTTTACAACAGTGATAGTTAACAGTTGAGTTAGGTCTTCTTAATAATGAGCCTAAGGTCAGAGGTGAGTTTCACCATATTTCTCCATTTATGACCGAGGCCATCTTAGAGAAGCAAGTCAGCAGTGCCATAAAGGCAATTCCGTTTGGATAATATAGCCAGAAAACTCAAAACAATAACCTGGGCAGGGTGGGCCAGCAGTGCTTTCTTCATTTGTTTGATTTGAGCATGAAATTCCCTAATCAGGAACTGATTCAAGTACATTGATTTTAAGCTTTTCACAATCTTCACTTTAACTCCTTGAGTTTCAGACCCTATTCTGAAGCTTTCTAATCTCCATCCAAAACAGGATGCTGTTGCTTTAAAGCCACATTCATTTTCTAGAACTCGTTAAGCACACAGCAAATTAAGAGCAAGCAACATTATTTTCCAGCTAAATTTGCAAAGGGATAATCTGAACGATTTAGTCATATTCCTGATTAATTTTTAGCAGAAATAATGAGGTTGTAAATGGAAAAACATGTGCACGTGCATAGGGAACCTGCCGTTCAAGCACGAAACAAGGTATGCTAATTGAGGGCTTTACAAACAAGGTAACCTTGGGGATACTTCTTCAGGTGCCTAAAGGGACATAATGGGATAGCTACACAACACTAATGCAATGGCATGTTGCCCTGTAAGTTTTAAGTGATTTGAATTCTATTTCTCTTCCTCTCCTCCTACCCCCTCTCCATTCATCCACTGATTTCTCTTTATTGCAATATCCTGAACTGGTAAGAACATGGGGGTAATGGATACCAGGTTTGTATTCATTTAAAAAAAAGAAGAAGAAGTCTTCCTGGAAGGCTACTTGGAAAGAAAATCAAATCCTTAAAAAACATTCACAGCCTTAGATTCAGCAATCAATATTCAGGAATTTATCCTAGACAAATAATCATTAATGCATACAGATGGAGTATCTAACTAATTCATAGCTTTTAAAATCTATGAAATATCCATATAACATAATACAAAATAACTATGAAATGTGATGTTGCAGATGATTTTCAATAAAGTAGAAATATGAAGATATGTTTTTGCAAAAAGTTAGTTCCAAGCAATGTGTTCAATATAATTCAATTTTCTATATGCACATGGTTAAAATACTGGTAAGAAAAACACTCAAAGTTAGCAATGGGTATATTCCTGTGCAGCAGGCATATGGTTGACTTATGATGCTCTTTTTGTTCTGCTGTGCTGTCTACAATTTTTCAATGAGTGTTGATTCCTTTTGAAATAAGGAAATAGTCAATATAACTATTTATTATTGTAGTTTCTGATTCTCTAAAAACTGTCAAATTATATCATTCCCTACTCCTTCTCAACCTTGTTTTTAGGTTTGCTCTACTTAGAGAGAGAGAGAGAGAGAGAGAGATGAGGTATAGATGAAAAGGAATGTAACTGCTGCTATATAATCATCTACTCCAGCCACTTTCAACAGCCATTGCTGGGATCTGGACCACTATTCAGCTATTAATAGCAATGCTAATGATAGCTCAGTTATTAATAACAGTAACAATAGCTACATTTCACTGAAACTTATCACACAATGGGCTCTGTGTTGGACATGTTATAAGCATGCCTTACAGAAATCTTACAAGATTTTAAGATAAATGCTAATACTGTCCTCATTTTACAAAGGATAAAACTGAAGCTTGGGGATATCAAAAACTTTGCTCTTCCCCATGAAGCTGGAATGTTTCAGAGTTGGTGTTAGAACTAGGTCTGGCTTCATAGGCAGTGATCTTGAACACAGTATGATGGCACTGACTTTCATCTCTGCTTTATGTGTCTACCCCTGTATTAGCCAGACTTGTTAGGGTTTTCCAGAAACAGAACAAATAGGATATATATGGAAAGAGATATTTATTACAAAGAGCTGACTCATACAATTATAGAGACTTAGAAATCCCAAGATATGCAGTTGAAAGACCTGAGAGTTCATGATGATGAGTTCTAGTCTGGATGTGAAGGCAGAGGGAGATCAACGTCCCAGCTCAAGACCATCAAAGCAAAGATAGCTAATTCTCTTACCTTGCATTTTGTTCCATTCAGGCCTCCAACACACTGAAGAGGCCGACTCACATTACAAAGGGCAATTTGCTTCACTCAGCTTATCAATTCAAAAGTTACTGTCATTCTGAAGCACCTTCACAGATACACCCAGAATAATAATGTTTAACCAAATATCTGGGGCCCACTGTGTCTCAGTCAAGTTGACACACACACACACGCACACACACACGCACACACACACATATGTGAGTGTGTGTGCGTGCGTGTGTGCGTGTATGTGTGTGTGTGTGTGTGTATATATATATGTATACTCCTAGGAATTTTACAACAATACTAAATAGCAGTTGAGTTAGGTCTTCTTAATAATGAGCCCAAGGCTGGAGGTGAGTTTCACCATTTCTCTCCATTTATGACCATGGCCATCTCAGAGAAGTAAGCCAGCAGTGTCATACATAAATATATTTATAGGTGGGGGTGGGTTTCCCTATGTTGCCCAAGTTGGTCTTGAACTCCTGGCCTCAAGTGATCCTCCTGCCTCAGCCTCCCACAGTGCAAAGATTACAGGCATGAGTCACCACGCTCAGCCCAACATATAAAATTAACTATCGCAACCGCTTACTCTGGGCCTCCACAGCATACCTATCATTGCTGTCTTTGAAACTGTACCCATGTCTGCAAGTCCAGCCCTAGTTTTTCACGAACACTTAAGTCAGCACCAAGGCATGGGGAACACTTGATCTTTTCCAACAGTAAGTTCTGTCCTGTGGGCCAAATCCAGCCTCCTGCCTGTTTTTAAGTGACTCATAAGCAACATAATAATAATAATAATAATAATAATAATTTGTTTATTTTTAAATGGTTGAGGGAAAATCAAAAGTACGGTATTTCATGATATGCAAAAAGTATATGAAGCTTGAATTTCAATGTCCATTCATAAATTTTGTTTTAGAACACTGCCATGCACATCTGACTGCATATTTCCCATAGTTGCTGTTGTGCTACACCTAAGTAATTGCAACAGAGATCATATTAGCCCACAAAGCCTACAACATTTACTGTCTGTCCCTTTACAGGAAGCTTTACTATCTCCTGCCCAAAAACCCCAGATCGCTTTGTGTATAAGTCATTTGAGAATAATCTAGGGCTGCTTTGGTTTTGTTGTTGTTTTTATTTTAAAGACAGGGTGTACAATTCAGGATTAGGTATACAAGTGGTCATCGTACAGGTAAAGTGTGGGCCTCCCTTTTGTCCCCACTTTGCCTGGTTTGAGATCAGGTACCCTTAATGATGTTATGTACCCTCCCCAGGCAGTTTCTGGCTACAGCCTATCCCTTTCTTATAGTATTATGGTGAATGTTCAGGGTCTGCTTATGAGTGAGAACACGTGGTCCTCAGTTCTTTGTTTCTGTGATAGATCACTGAGTATGAAAGACTCTAAATGACAAATCATATTACTGGCATGTTTTGCCTCCTGCTCTTTAAACCCAAATCACAACTTTTCAAACTACACTAATTCTACCAAGCCAACCCAGCTCCTTTTTGTATTGTATATTTCTTTTCAGATGTGAAGCTTTCTGTGTATGTTTGCAGTCACATGCATGATCTTCATTTTTTAACTGTTGTGCATTCATTAACAATTTCATGAATTTCCTCTCCTTAAAGAATAAATTCATAAACCACATTTTATGCAATCCATAGTCCTTAGCACAATGCAATGAAAAGAATAGGTGTTCTGAGGGACATGTTCACATGTGCTCATGTGTATGTGTATTTACGGCATCTTTATACACCAATGACAATGAAGTTTTATCAATCAGAGATGGCAAACAGATGGGTGTAAGTAGCATGTCCTCTGCAGACAGGTTCTCTTTGGCCCACAAAGTGTTTTGGTCTGAACTGAAATTAATCCCTAACAGTTACCAAATGGCGGGTTTTAGACACAAACTCGAATGCTTGGATTCCCTTGAAAAATCAAGCAATCTACCTACATAAATCCCATGGTCTCATGTCATCAGTTGTCTAATCTTGGGCTTTTGACATTTCACTCCAGTTTCCTTCAACCCTCTTTTCTCATTTACATTTTCTCTCTGGCCCCTGTTGACATATGAAATGATAACTTCTGATACAGCTAAATATATATATCCACAGGTAGATAATCCACATAGCTATGTCTATAGATATTCACACACATGCAAATTGATTTTATACACATGTAGAATAATTGAGTCACAAAGTAGGTAACTGGGATGTATGGTTATTGAGTTACCAACTGGTCCACCTTGGGCATTTCAGGGTGGTATTTAATCTAAGTAATACACTGTTGAAAATAGGAGTAAGCCATCTGCTCAAATAATGCTGAACATATTTTTCAGCACAAAGATAGCCAGATTGTGTTCTATGGTGATATACACTGGGGCATAAGAATGAAATTCTAAACGTACCATTGAATTTTTCACGCTCTGTAGCAAGCGCTCATGCTGCTCTGCTATGGCCAAGGCAGCAGAGTGGACTTTCTGATAGATGGCCTCTCCATCTCGTGTCTGAAAGATAAACAGCCCTTCACCAGTCTCACACATCCTGTGGAAACAAAAACAAAAAGCTTCTAAAAATCCAACGCCTAGAACTTCAATATACTAAGAGTTCCGAATACTCCATGAGGCTGTGCCCTTTTGTTTTTTATGAGATTAGGATTCTTGTTCACGTTTGCTAAACAAAGCGAACCAAAATCAAAATGTTCAAAGTGTTCAATTAATTGTTATTAATAAGAGCAGGGAACCAAGGCACTCTAGGCTAACATGTGCTGAATGCTTTTTATTTCAAAGCCAAATAGAAGGTTAATTTCTTTTTTTTAATATATTTTTATTTTTTAATTTTTTTGAATCTCACTCTGTCGCCCAGACTGGAGTGCAGTGGCCGCTCCCGGCCACCGCAGCCTCGACCTGCTGGGCTCCAGTGATCCTTCCACCTTAGCCTTCCGAGTAGCTGGAATTACAGGCATGTACTACCATGCCCGGCTGATTTTTTGATTTATTGTAGAGATGAGGTCTCGCTGCCCAGGCGGGTATTGAACCTGCAGGCTCAGGCAATCCACTCACCTCAGCCTCCCAAAGGCGTGGGATTACAGGCTGAGCCACCGAGCCAGGCTTCTTTTTTTTTTTTCTAAGTTGTTTCTTTTAATAAAAGTATACAGGCATAACCCAAACCCCTTTCAAGATCTAAGTTATTATGTCACCCCAGAAAGTGACTGTCATGTTAAACTATTTAGTAGGAAGCATCTTGCTATCTGCAATGTGGAAACTGGAAATACACCCAAAATAAGATCTCTCATAGGCTTTTCAACTTTCAGTGACTCTAAGTTATTTCAAAAAAAAAAATTTTTTTTTTTTGAGTCAGAGTCTTACTCTGTTGCCCAGGCTGGAGTGCAGTAACAAGCTCACGGCCACTCCAGCATCGACCTGCTGGGCTCTGGCGATCTTTCCGCCTCAGCCTTCTAAGTAGCTGGAACTACAGGTGCGCTACCACACCCAGCTAATTTTTGATTCCTTGTAGAGACAAGGTCTTGCCAAGTTGCCTGGGCTGGTCTGGAACCCGTGGGCTCAGGCAATCCACTAGCCTCGGTCTCCCAAAGTGCTGAGATTACAGGCTGAGCCACCAAGCCCGACCTTATTTCAAAATTTAAAAAAATTTATGGAAACACAATGGAATGACAGAAGGATGGTTAGATGAAAAGATATGAGTTAAATAATCTTGAGTAAACTGTTACCAAGTCAGTGCTGCGTGTTTCGACATTTTCATAATAAAATATTGGTGGTAATTAGCAACAAAAAAAGCTGTTTCTTGGTTTTCAGTATTATATAATACTTCACCTTACCTATACCAAACCTAACCACTCTTAAAGAGGGATACCTGTGCAGCTGCATTCCCTCGTATATTCCATAAATAACTCCTCATAAGAAACTATGCCGGTCATCTCAGAGTGAGAGGATTCTATGTCTCTTTTAGATTGTGCTCTAGTTTTCCTTACAGACAATGGCTTTAAGTATTCTTTCAGTTCTAAAACCCCAGATCAAATATTACTCCAGTTTCTACTCAAGGTGATGGATCAAATGCAGTTAATTTTTTTTTTCATTTTAATGAGCATGACTATGCTGAATTAATGTTTTAGAATGTAAGAGAAGCCGGGTTCGGTGGCTCAGCCTGTAATCCCGCGCTTTGGGAGGCTGAGGTGAGCGGATTGCCTGAGCCTGCGGGTTCGAGACCCGCCTGGGCAACTTGGCGAGACCTCATCTCTACAATAAATAAATAAAAAATCAGCCGGGCGTGGTAGCGCGTGCCTGTAATTCCAGTTACTTGGAAGGCAGAGGCGGAAGGATCACTGGAGCCCAGCAGGTCGAGGCTATGGTGGCCGAGAGCGGCCACTGGACTCCAGTCTGGGCGACAGAGTGGGACTTCAACTCAGAAAAAAAAAGAATGTAAGAGAAGATCTTCACGGAAAGCTGTATGAATTTGATGATGAAATGTCAGACGTTAAGAGGAAGATGATCTCTACCTCAGACTGTAAAACACAGAAATAAACTTCATTAATAAGAAAAGATTGATACACACAATTAAGCAAGAGCTAAATAAACACATAATTATTTCAGTATATATATGCATATGTAGTCATATATATACTAGTGTATATATGTATATATAAAACACTACACTAAAATATATTTAATTACTATACATATTTTTAATAACTCAGAAAAAAATCATATACCCGGACATTTTTAAAAGCTCTGATTTTGATAGTTACACATATCAACAGTAAATTAGGACATTGTTTTTGTTTGTTTGCTCATTTTTAAAGAAACTAATTATTCTAAGACACAATGCCACCTCTCTACTTCAGAATCTCTTGCTAAAAAATTGAACACTGGTTTTTAGTGCCTGGATTGCCCACATCTAAAGAACTGCTTAACACAATACAGAAACTAAGCACATTTTCAGTCTAAAATACTGTTAATTTTCTTAATCTACACCAGTCTATGCAGCTAATGCAATAAAACATTTTAAAATCTATTATTTATCTATCTCAGTATTTGCTGTTGGCCTGGTACCATGTCCATATGGCAGTTCTCCACACATATAGCATGGCCTAAATAAAGGGTCAAAACCTGCCTCGCTTGAATTTCACAAATATGGGCTATGTGAGAAGATAAAAACAGCAAATAAAATGATAGTTCTTTCAATATGTTAACATAAAGAACTATTAGGGCCCGGCTCGGTGGCTCAGCCTGTAATCCCGCGCTTTGGGAGGCCAAGGTGAGTGAATTGCCTGAATCCGCGGGTTCGAGACCCGCCTGGGCAACTTGGCGAGACCTCATCTCTACAATAAACCAAAAAATTAGCCAGGCATGGTGGTGCATGCCTGTAGGATCGCCGGAGCCCAACAGGCCAGGCTGAGGTGGCCAGGAGCGACCACTGCACTCCAGTCTGGGTGACAGAGTGAGACTCCAACTCAAAAAAAAAAAAAAAAACTATTAGGCTATGAGGTTGATCGTGAATTTTAATTAAGTCATTCTAATCCAATGAAGAAATAAAACTAAAATTCTAGCCATTTCCTTCCTGAAGACATTTAAAATACTTCAACCCTTACAGCTACCTCGTTCTTATTTAAGCCACCACACAAACTTGACTCTATTACTTGGCATCTAATTCTGCAAAGTGGTCTGTTTTTACTACATTTTTCTTCATCAAATATGGAAATACCATTTATTAAGAGGAGGAAGCAACCTTATTCAATTATTTAAGAAGAAGAAGTAGCCTTCTGTTACCCCGAGGGCAGAGGTCACTATATATTTACTTCCTTAAATGCCAATTTTGGCTCTAGAAAGAATGAAGGTACCTGTTACTCAGAAACACTTGTAGGGCGATTGATTAATATTAAAACTTGCAGCTATATTAGACAATCTACTGCCTTTCAAAGTTTTATAACTGCAATCCACAGTAGGAACTAGAGTTTAGATTGTGGCCCCGTGCATCTGTCTATCAAGCTATGTATCCTTAATCTATAACACATTCATATCTTCTATTCTACCTTCTTTTTCAATACTGATGGTGGAATGCTTAATCTATATAATGACATTAATCGGCAAGACCTACTCTGAAAATCACTCTTTCATCCAATGTCCGCTTTTGATAAACATCTACAACCTTCCTTTAAGGACATTTAAGTTTCTAAATAGAAGAACTAACATTGTTAAGACGTCCATCCTACCAAAGGCAATTTACAAATTTAATACAATACCCATTAAATTACCAACATCATACTTCTCAGACCTGGAAATGACAATACAGAAATTTATATGGAAACATTAAAGACCACAAACAGCCAAAACAATCCTTAGCAAAAGAAACAAAGTGGGTTGTAGCACACTTCCAGACTTTAAACTCCACTGTAAATAAGGCTACAGTAATCAAAACAACCTGGTATTGGTACAAGAACACGCATACAGACCAATGGAATAGGATAGAGATTCTGGAAGCGAAACTTCAAGTTCTCAATCAATTCATCTTTGACAAAGCCTCTACCAATAACCACTGGGGAGAGGAGAACCTATTCAGTAAATTGTGCTGTGAAAACTGGCTGACCACACGCAGAAGATTGAAACAGGGCCCCTATCACCATACACAAAAACCAACTCTAAATAAATCAAAGATCTAAACATAAAACTTCAAACTATAAGAATCCTAGAAGAGGCCGGGCTCGGTGACTCAGCCTGTAATCCCACACTTTGGGAGCCCGAGGTGAGTGGATTGCCTGAGCCCGCGGGTTCAAGACCTACCTGGGAACTTGGCGAGACCTCATCTCTACAATAAATCAAAAATTAGCCGGGCATAGTAGCGCACGCCTGTAGTTACAGCTACTTGGAAGGCTGAGGCGGAAGGATCGCCGGAGCCCAGCAGGTCGTGGCTGAGGTGGCCAGGAGCGGCCACTGCACTCCAGTCTGGGTGACAGAGTGAGACTCCAACTCAAAAAAAAAAAAAAAAAAAAGAATCCTAGAAGAAAATGTAGGAAACACTCATAGGCACATTGGAGTAAGCAACCAATTCTTCATTAATTCTTCAAGAGTGAATACCATAAAAGATAAGATAAACAAGTGGGATCTTGTCAAACTGAGAAGCTTCTGCAAAGCAAAAGAAACCATAAAGAGAATGGAGAGACAGCCCATCAAATGGGAAAAAATTATTTGCTAGCTGTATATCTGACAAAGGCCTAAAATACAGGATCTACAAGGAAATCAAATGTGTCGAAAGGGAAAAAATGAACAACCCTATTAAAAAGTGGGCAAAGATCTGAATAGACACTTTTCAGAAGAAGACATATTAGCAGCCAACAGATAAATGGAAAAATGCTCAGCCTCACTAATCATCAAAGAAATGCAAATTAAAACCACACTGAAATACCACCTAACTTCAGTCAGGATGGCCATCATTAATAACTCAAAAGACAACAGATGCTGGCTAGGATGTGGAGAAAATGGAACACTTCTACATTGTTGGTGGGAATGTAAATTAGTACAACCTCTGTG